ATATTTCAATAGTTTTGGAGTGTGTCTATGCTACAACATAATTTATGGATAGTATGGATGGAACTCACCGTTAGATGTCGCCTATATCGTTTCGATGGGAATAACTGAACATTTTTGAGTCGCTAAAATTATAGACAAATTAAAACAAGTACAACGAAAAGTTAGTTTTGTCTTTTTATCTCATCATGTTTTGCATAGCCAACATGCTGATTTTCGTGTTCAACCCACTCGACTTCGTTATCGTTTTTCTTAAAACCCCTGAAATATCAATAATTGCAGCATATTTGTCAATTGAAACTCTTCTATAATATATCACATTTATTGAAGTCGATTTCTTGAAATATATGTTTTCAAATAAATTAATAAGCACATTTGACTGCAGTAATCAACATGTTGACTATATAAAAGCATTCTGAGAGCCATCTAGATAAAATGATTTTCTTCGATACTTACCTCTTACTTATATTCACTTCTCACATGGTGAATCTCTTTAGTCCCACTCGATATGATCATAATACATTTTTTTTTTTCGGAGGGTGTCTCTGCTAGTGGTGAATATTAAAACTTGAAATTTCACCATCCCATACACAGTTTTGGATTGTGTCTGCGCTAAACTTAGCGCCATCTAGTAGTTCATATTAAAACTAGCAACACCAACGCCAACAGCCCCAATAAAATTTGACGTGGTACAATTCAAAAGACAACATCCCCAATATAATTTGCCGTGGTACAATTCAAACGACAACATCCCCAATATAATTCACCGTGGTACATTTCAAAAGACAACATCCCCAATATATTTCACCGTGGTACATTTCAAAAGACAACATCCCCAATATATTTCACCGTGCTGAATTTCCCCCAATCAACATCCCCAATAGAATTTGCCGTGGTACAATTCCCAAGACAACATCCCCATTAAAATTCACCGTGGTGAATTTACCCAAATCAACATCCCCAATAGAATTTGCCGTGGTACAATTCCCAAGACAACATCCCCATTAAAATTCACCGTGGTGAATTTACCCAAATCAACATCCCCAATAGAATTTGCCGTGATAAATCGTGGTGAATTCCCAACATCCCCATAAGCACACTACTACTCATTTCATAAAGGGATTACAGAGCCGTACTAAAATCCTGCCGTCGTTTTCCATTATAATTTGACATTAATATGCCTAGCCATGACTTCAAGCTGTTTATGTACTTGCACCCTAGATACCCGTGTTTTGAAGCTCACAGATGTTTTCGGCTACACAGTTGGGTCACACTCATGGCAAAGGATACGGGTAGATGCATCAACGCTTGAGAACATTGATACGTCAAAAATGTTTAATTGTTTCTTAAAAAATAAGTAGACTTGTATATGTTTTCCTATACAACGTCAATCGGAGGTTGTTATACTATGCATTTTCTAACAATTTTTACAAATTTAAATAATTTTTCATTTAAAAACTTCAATTTCAAAATTGGTTTGACAGTTCATTGTCCCAGCTGCTGTGTCGATGCAACTACCTATATTTTTTCTGAACAATACGGATTAAAATTATGGGATCTACCAAGGTCATAGCAATCGTAACAACCCGATTTGTGTAACCACCACTTATATATCCCACAATGGTTATTGCTATGAAAGTACTGAAGCTAAATTAAAAAGCCGTAAGGTCAATAGAAAAATGAAATTTCTCATAAATTCTCCTAAGCTGATTCTTAAAGGAATAAAATTGCAATTCTACAAGTCCAAAAGAAACCAATTTAACTTCTAAAATTGAAATTGACAATTTAGTTTACAAACAAAAATAATAAAATAATTAATTATTGTCAATCACACCTTATTTAATACACCTTGAGAGGCACCAAAAGAAAATAATGTATTTGGAGGTAGCTTTTTTCTACCTTTTAAAATTATGCCATGTACAAATGTACCATTTAAAAAAAAAGTATTTAAAAAATTTTGACATTTGGATGTTCTTAAGCGTTAAGGCTGTATGGTAGAAGAATACCATGCGTTTTATAAAACTAGTTTGGGCATCCTCTCGATTGTTTTTCTTATTTTTTTTCGACTAGTTTCACAATGTCATTTGTTTGCGCCATCTCTTTGTCATAAAATTAATTATTGAAATACAGTACATAGATGGCGCTACTAAAGTAATAGTGTGCTTAAACAATGCAGTGTAGATGTCACTTGTTTCAATCATCTGAATGTATTCTAAAACGAGTGTTACCAAATGCTTAATCATACAACTTGTATTGCATATAATTTACTTTTTCGGTAAGGTGAGTAAGAATGATTTTTGTACAAAACAGAGAAAAAGTGAAAATTAACATTTATGTCGATTTAGTCAATCAGAAGCGAACAACCGTGATTATTTTAAAACCGGCAAAACTACCTAGTAATAATCAAAAAAGTCAGGCCGAACCCTTCAGCACAAAGTAAAGTAAGAATCATGGTAAAATTATGAAGGTAAAATCATTTTAAATAATTTCACTACAAAGAAAACAGGTTACCATCTCTGATTTATGTGTATACAATGGATTTGAAAATATATGTAGATTTTGACAATGAGATGTTGTCAAATGAATAATTTTCAAGGAAAGTAAACACATGATTGCATGACTTTACCTTGGCTGGCTTCTTCGTAAATGAACAAAGGAGTTTTAGGTTGATTCAGTTCGATTTTGGCCCCAGGCTCCTTTCTTCATTTCCGATGAAGCCAACCGATGACTAAAGCCACCCGGAGAAGCGCTTTATGTATTTCCACTCTTACTGCTTTTTAACTTGTTTAATTTGGATGTTTTTTATGTTTCATAAATTTCTTAAATAATGTGAAAGTGTGTTTGAAAATAGTAAGGTTAGAATTATCTATGAAATCTGTCTGTTCCTCATAAAAAGAAAAGCTTATAGAAAATTTAGCAGAGCAATTTGTATTGTGTCTATGATGGTTGGTATTGAAAATGAGATATATCGGTCCACGTTCTGGTACAGTCTCCATATAACGGTACCTCCCGATATTCGGTATTTTGATGATTTATGCTACATTTTCTCACGGATTTGTCTGAAAATTGGTATTTGTAGGTCATAATGGGTCCCTGTACGTGTGGCAAAACATTGCATGTATAGGTCCACGTTTTGGTATAGCCCCCATATAAAGGTACCTCCCGATATTCGGTATTTTAATTATTTTTGCCACATTTTTTCACGGATTTGTCTAAAAATTTGTATTTGTTGGTCATAATAGTTTCCAGCTCCGGTGGCGAAACATTGCATGTATGGGTCCATGATTTGGTATAGTCCCCATATACCGGTACCTCCCGATATTCGGTATTTTGATGGTTTATGCCACATTTTTTCATTGATTTGTCTAAAAATTGGTATTTGTGGGTCATAATGGGTCCTAGTTCGTGTGGCGAAACATTGTTTGTATAGGTCCACGTTTTTATATAGTCCCCATATAACGGTACCTCCCAACATTCGGTATTTTGATGATTTTGACACATTTTTTCAAGAATTTCTCCGAAAATTGGTAGTTGTAGATCATAATGGGTCCTAGTTCGTGTGGCGAGTCATTGTAATTATAGGTCCATGTTTTGGTATAGCCCCCATACAACGGTGCCTCCCGATATTCGGTAATTTGATGATTTTTGCCACATTTTTTTTCACGTTGTTGTCTGAAAATTGGTATTTGTAGGTCATAATGGGTTCTAGCTTCGTTGGCGAAACCTTGCATGTGTAGGTCCATGATTTGGTATATCCCCCATATAACGGTACCCTCCGATATTCGGTATTTTGATGGTTTTTGCTACATTTCTTCTAATGTTTCCTTTACCCTAAGGTGGAGGGTATTAAAAGTTTGGCCCGGCCGAACTTAATGTTCTTTTACTTGTTTGTATTCTCAACTTTAATATCCTATGATAATTTAAAGGTGAGAGTATATACAGGGTGAGATGAAAGAACAGCAACAGCGTACAAAAGCATTTTGGTAAGAATTTTCCAGAAAAAAAGTTATTTGTAATGGAATTCAAGCGTAATAGCGTGATTTCTTTATATTTGGCTGGAAAACCACAAGTGGCTATCGTTATGCAAGCCACACACGATACAACTGGTTGCACAACTTGGAGAGTACTCAAATTGTGTGTTTCGGTCACAAACGATGCAACTTAGTGCACAAACTCTTTGCACAACTTCACTTTTCGTAGATTTTGTTTGAGTTAAGATGACACCGGAAAAAACGCATGCTCTTAGCTTTTATTTATAATTAATTTTTGAAATTCCATTTTATAAATTGAAATTCCTTTTCATATATACATTAAAATCACGCATTTGATTAGGTTTCGTATTGTTTTGATGTGCGAAACAATGGTGTTGCCTCTTCAAAAATAAAGACAAAATGAAATTGCCACATGCCCACAAACGTTACAATCGGTTGGTACAACATGCCAAATATCAGAAAATTTTGATTTTTCATACAACCGAGACACAACTTCGTACAACCGGGCCACAAACGATACAATCTTGAATACAACCTCTCCCAGTTGTACAACCAGTCGTAACGTGTGTGGCTTGCATTATGACAAACAATGCTACGTCATTTTTAAAATTTTAACAGAATTTTTAAGGATTTTATTTTTGGTGGAGGGTATGCTTTTTAACTTGTTTTTATCTCACCCTGTATGTACTTAGATAGTAAATCGTTACCAATTTTCAAGAATATCACAAATTACGGCTTTCGCTTGTCGGCTCCCATTCGTTTTTTTTTTTCAATTCTCCTTTAAAATGCAATGAGGCATAGAAAGAGAATCGATCTGGTTTGATATCAAACCTCTGCCATGGAGACTTCTTACCAATGCCACTGAAAGCTCCAATAATGTGCGATTGTTTAAGCCATGGTTAAAACGCTCACACAATGACTGGAACGAAACAAAGCTTGAGAGCGGTAGCACACACGGCAACTTATCAACTATGCAGGCGCAGAGAGAATCCGCTTGTGGAGTTCGTCTTTTAGTCGGGTTTGAGATGTTAGACTGTTAAGTTGTGTCTTTCCGAGTGACCGCTAAGTTGTCGTAAGCAGCAAGACCAATAGAAAGTAAAAAGACGAAAGAGAAGGAGCGGAAAAGAAGAAGAAGAAAAAAAGAATTAAAAAAACTCGTGCTAACGAAGGCCTGTGTTTTTTTTTTTTGGTGCAAGCCAAGCTGTTTTGCGTTTTGTTTTTCTCTTTCTCTCTCTTCTACTTCTGTATTTTGTTTTATTTGCGACGGAATCTGTGTACTCAGGTGGATATTATTAACAAAAAACAAAAACAACAATTTCTGAAGATACAACAACGATACTTCAGGTCGATCGAATCCATCGATCGTAAACAATAGAAAGACGATTAGGACCGTGTTATTGATTTTCGAGTGGCGTGGCAATAGCCAAAAAGTCGAGATAAGTCGTTTTGTCATTTACAAAGTGAATTCCGGTGAATATTTCGCACTCCTGTGTGTGCAACTTGAAATATATAAATTCAAATTGTGTCAAAAAGTGATTAATGAAAATTAAACCCAAAGAAACATAGCGCAAATTAAAAAAGTAACAACCAATTGCAATTTGTAAAAGCGAGCAAAATATAAACAAATCAAGAAATATCAACACGCGCTCACTCACGATCATTAGGAATATTACTACTGTCCAGCAAATAGCCGAAACCGAAAGCAAAAGGAGAAACAAATCTCGCAAAAGAATATTTTGCAATCATCTTGAACCACACAAAAAAGTGAATTGTAATGTAAGTACCCGACACCCTCCGATCGCGCGCTCTCAGCAATGCATTCATTTGGAATGTAATTTGTTGTTGCTGTTCAACTTTTCAAGATAGCTAGCGAGCAAGCAAGTAGCCATCCATGCATCCATTTGGCCAACAACATTCATATCAATGCAATTGTGGTGGAATTCAACGCCACCACTCCTCCCACCTCTGTCATCACACCTACGCCAACACACAAACACGCGCACACTTACACATATGCAAGCAATACATGCATGTGGTTTTAGCGCGAGTGAGCGAGCAGTGTTTGGTGCATTTTTAGAATTTCGAATTAGAAAACACCACCAACAACAACAACGAAACTTAAACAAAGTAATGTTTGTATATGCATGCTTGCGGAGCCTCTCAAATGCCTTGAAATATATGCATCCGTTTGCGTGTTTGAAATTTCAAATGGCTTTCAAGAATCGCTTCGATGTTACGACCAACGACAACCATAATGTTTATTACGTTAGCATGCAACGACGGTGGCGACGACGACTACGACGACACATTGCCGTGTACTGTCATCCGTACACACTAGAATACAGGCAGATACATTCGCTGTTCTGGTGCCTGGTTCTCCTACAATTGTCGACTGTCTTGTCGCAAGTTGTGTCATCCATTCATTTTCTGCCTGTTATCCATCGATCTTCAAGTACCGGCATATTAATATTCTAGGTGCGCAGATACAACACTGCTTTGCAAAAGTTTGAGGGTGATTATGATATTGGAGGTCATACTTTATGTCATTACTCCGGATGCAGGTTAACAAAAAGTTCACTATTTTGACAAATATACCTAAGGTTTTTACAGGTCTCGATGATTTTAAAAAAGGAGTTGAAGACTCAAATGTCATATATAGAATAATTAAATTATTTAACAAGTCAAAAATCCAGCATTTTCACTACGCTGTAATCTAAGGATTAAACACCATGGCGCAAAAAATTAAATTAAGAAAAAACAAACGAAATGTCAAATTTTTATAAAGTTTTGTTTAACAATTAGGAGTTTTCGTTTACTTTATAACTTGTTACTGACAGTGAATTGAGAGAACTATTTTTGACAGGTGTGTACTGACAGCTAACTTATTCTTACTTGAAAATTTCTCCATCATCTGTTCAATAATCAGTTCGGCCGGGCCGAACTTTAAATATCCACCACCATTTTGAACAAATTTGGCAATTTTCAAAAAATAAAATCCGTTAAAAATTCTTTTAAAATCTTAAAAATACCAAATGTAGCATTCATATTAGGATCTTAACGACGACGTGGACCTGCATAGGCAACTTTTGTCATAAGCCATTACAATATTCAAATGCGAAACTTTAAAAAAAAAAAATCGCTGAATAATTTAGCTAAAATCATCAATAGCCCCCATATAATAGTACCTCCCTACTATTATATGGGGGCTATACCAAAATGTGGACCTGTGCAGACAATTTTCTGTCATAGGCTGCTGTATCCAATACGAACTTCAAATACCAAATTTGAAACAATTCCGGTGAATAATGTCGCTAAAATGATCAAAATACCGAATATAGGGAGGTACCGTTATATGGGGGCTATACGCAGACGTAGACCAGCACAGACAATTTTCTGTCTTAGGCTGTAGTTCCCATTACGAACTTCAAATACCAAATTTTAAACAAATCCTCTGAAGAATGTCGCTAAAATCATCAAAATACAAATGATTCGATAAGGTGTCACAATTGAATTTTTGGGGCTTAGGAGAATAAGGTTCGTATTTACACTCAACAATTTGTTATTAAAAAAAAGTAAACAAACCGAGCTATTGTATATGTTTCTTAGGATGATTTAAATCACAATTGGCATCTTGGCAGTTAATCCAATGCTATGTGGTGCGATCCTCTAACTAATTTAAAGTAGACTTAACGTGGATCGTAATGTAAACAATTTTGGAATTTTATTTCGGTTTTGAAATTATGGTGCACGGCAGTGTGAGCACATCGAAAAGCATCCATTGTGATTGAAATACCTTTATACTGTCAGGTTTTTATACGTTAAATTTATAGCGGAATGAATTTTGAAAGAAAGATATGGAGGAAATGAGCGGATGGCCTTTTAATTATGCCAAAAAAAGGTTTTATGTATACTGACCTTAAGTTCTCTTCGGATAGTAAGTAAATTGTTTCTTTTTCCCACAAAAATATTTTAAATCTCTTCTGTCGGAAGATTTTCTGCTCCCGAAGAAACCAAAATCCAAATCGATTGGAAAACACTGTCGTCGGCCGCGCTAAAATCAACCAAAAGCGTGGACCTAATTTAATAACTTTGTTAGTAGCTTTTTTATATAATATGAACTCCAAAATTAGTCGAAATTAATTAATTAATGACTAAAGCTTAAAAAATACTTGAAATCGCTGTTTATATAGGGACTACATCAAAAAGTGGGCCGAAAAGGGCAATAGATATTTCTTTGATGACTTTTAACGAATATATTTATATTTGACATTATTCTTATGATATGATGTTTTGTAGGAGAATTTTCCGTTAACTTACGGTTTTGACCAAAAAATGAGTTTTAATATTAATGGTATCCAGATAAGATTTAGACTATTGATATATTTTGGGATCCATAGTAGAATCGTATGACTAATAATTTTGTAGAATATTTTGACTTGATGCGATTCCGTTTAAAGGGAATTTTCTAATGATATTTGAAAAAACAAGGAACAAACAAACCTCCTTGATCTCGCTTGTAAGTAAGCATTTTCGATGCAAATAATCATAGCATAGTAATTGTTAATCGGCCCTATTACGGTTGTCGTTGGTTGTGTGTTGGAATGATTGCTATTATCATATATCGATATAATAGTCGATGTGAAGTGAATTTTTGTAAATATGTGTCGCCGTATAAAAATGTAAAGACATTGTATTTATACCCTACACCACAAGGTGGTCATGGTATTATGTCTTTGTGCATTTGTTTGTAACAGGCAAAAGGAAACGAGATGGACCCAGAGTTCCTTTTGATGATCTGCATAGAATCACATTCAGAGTCGATTTATGCATGTCCGTCCGTCTGTCTGTCTGTCTGTCAATGTATTTTTGTAAACAAAGTACATTTCGCATTTATTGCCTATCTAGATGAAATTTTGCACAAATAATTTGTTTGGCCCAAGGACGAACCCTATTTCAATTGGAGATAATCGGTCAAAATTTAGATATAGGTCCCATATATATTTTCGTCCGATTTGCATTTTATTGTGCACCAAACGTGTAATATCAACCCGAATAGTATGGAATTTTTCACATACTACCAAATTAGGCCTGAAAATAAGTATGCCAAATTTGATCGAAGTCGGTTCAGATATAGCTATAGCTCCCATACATATTGTTCATCCGATTTGGTATTTTTGTCCTCCGCAGCCGTAATATGAACTCTGTAACAACAATATTTGGGGAAATATATCAACAGCTCAGAAATACATTTGCTAAATTTTATCGAGATCGGTTCAGATTTGGATATAGCTCCCATATATAACTTTTTCTGATTTACCTTTTATTGTGCACCAAAAGTCTAATATTTGTCCAAATGGGATGGAATTTGGCACTTACGACCGAATTGAGTCTAGAAGCTAGTATGTCAAGTTTGGTGAAGATCAGTTCAGATATAGCTATAGCTCCCATATATACTGTTCATCCGATTTGTTATATTTGTTACCCACAGCCGCAATATACACTCCGTAACAACGATATTCAGGGAAATATATAATATACAGCTCAGAAATATCTTTGCTAAATTTTATCGAGATCGGTTCCCATTTGGATATAACTCTCATATATATATCTTTATCCGATTTCAAATTAATAGTGCACCAAATGGACAATACAAGTCCGAATTTAAGAGATACAAATGTTTCGGCATATTTAGTCTTTTGAACCTAAGAGCCAATGACCGGCGCCCACTTTGCACCTTTGGCGATTTTTTTTTTGCACACACTGAAAGCAGTCCTTGTTAATTCTAAAGTAATTTATAAATCTAGAAGAATATATTAAGTACATATTAATTTAAATATATACTTACTTGGAGTCAGGCAATCCAAAAAAGTTTTGTTTACTGCCTTAACACTTAACTACTAATACCTACTCCTCTTCATCCTCAATTGAACTTAAGAGATGTAAAGCATTTGTTATATAACAGAAGAAATTATGATTCAAAATACAAACAATTTTTATCTTTCTTTTCAACAACAAAGGACAACTTTTTTTAAACAGTCAATGTCGTTTCTATGCCTTTTCGTAATTCCATTTTCGAATCGAATCGAAACGACCGCGATGTTTATTTGCACATAAACGACAACCGTAATTGGTCCAAATATTGAGGAAGACTCTATATACCGAAAATGGTCGGATTCCAAGGAATCTTAATCCTTCCATTTGGAGCACTTTGTAAACTTTCATAATCCACTGAGATTTTTCTGTAAATAGTTCTGGTGCTGCACAGTACATAAATCCGTAGGTCTTTGGGCTTCATTAGGCGGTATGGTTTCTTGCATATTTGAAAATTTTGAGTTGTTCTTGTAGCATAGGAACAACCCAAAAAGGCATAAATTTAATTACCAAGATCACTAGATTCTCATTTTTCACCCATCACATGCCCATTATTAGTATAGGAACGATAAAATCAGTTACCTAGCATCGTAAAAAATTTATTTATTTATTCATTTTTTTTTTTTTTGATTTTATAAAAGGGTTTGTTAGTTGCCTTCCACAAGACGGCTTTTGAATGGCTTTTTACACGAGTCACACCTTTACATGCTGTGTGGTATCCGACAAGCACGCACAGAATTATACACGTCGATTCGCACATGTACGTATGTATATGTACATAAATTATACATATAACTCCTACACAGTAAATATTTCTATTTAATTTTTCCCATTTTGTCTTCCATGCAAATTTATAAATAATTATTTTTTGTAATCGCAAGCCAATATATGTGTAGTAGAAGTTA